ATACAAATAGATAAGATAAAAATATCAAATACTTTTTCTCATTGGAATATTCTAATATACGCTGTAATTGTTTTTAGTTTAAATAGACTTATGTTTGCATACTCAAATCTTTAAGGATTATAAAATTTCACCTTTATTTAAAAACTTTAGTGCTCTTTCCATATTTTCACCAAACAATTTAAAACTTCAATACTCTTTTAAAAAATTTGTTTAGGATTTTACATTAGAAAAGAAACGAATACTATCTTATTTGATAGGTGTAATAGAATATAAAGATACATTTTAATTTTCTAAGATTAATAAGTTTTTTTCTAACTCAACTTTTTATTATTTAGAGCATATATATCTTTACAAAACCAATGATTTTTTTTTTGTCAACCAAACTATTAATTAGAAAATACCACCGTAATTGGTAATCCAATTAGGTGGAATGTTGTTTACATAGAAAAACGTAAAAGCTCTAACTCATGCAGAACGGGCCAAACAGTCCGTCTGTAAATTATGAGAGTGAGAAATTGGGGGAAAATGCTCGCGCAACTCCCTAAACTTGGCTGATAAAATCGAGAATGCAGGCCACTCCTCTGGGTGCCGAACGATATCCACCAAGTCAGAACAATCTGTCTCAAACTCATGGCACTCCATCTCTCGCTCCAGCATAGAAGATATCGCCCAAATCGCACAAAAACAATGATTCCTTAAGTTAAAAAAATTAACATCAACTATTTTGAAAAATATAATTCGTGTATAAACCTATTTTTCAAATAGATTTAGCTACGTGCCAATTTTGTTTATCTATCTAAAAACACAAAATATCATTATTTATCAAAAAATAGTAAAAAAACAATGTTCAATTAAATTTAGTTACATGTTAGAAGAGCTTTTATAAAATTTCCAAAATCTAATATCATTATTTGTAAAATAATAAAAATCATCATAATTCAAGAGAAATTTCAAAAAATGTCACTTTTCAAGTGCCACTTTACAAAAATGCCACACTTTTGAAATCTTTACAAAAATACCACTTTTTCAAAATTATTTGTTCTTTATATCATTTTATGTTTGGGTTAATTATGTTCTATTAGGGTTTAGTTATGAAGGTTTAGGGGGTTTTAGGGGTCAAAACATTT